TGATAATCACTCCTAAATTAGAATGGGCAATATATAAATATATAGTAAAGCCCCTTATACTATATCTAGATTATGCTAAATTAGACTTTCTATTGACATAATTACTCAGTAAAATAACTTTAATCCATTTTATATAGATTAATCTGGAGTTAAGTACTTACATTATGAAGACTATTTTTCTAGGTAATTTAGACTAAACAACATTAGAGATCAAGCCCTTCATTTAGGAGATGAAGAAATAAAGGCCTAGAAACATTAAGCCAGTTCCCCAAACAGGTTAACTGGCAGAGTTGAGACTGAAATTCAGGTGTTTAGATTCCCAGCCTCATTTTCCTCCCAGTCTATTGAGATATAGATATACATCACTGTATGAGTTCCAGGTATACAGCATAAAGGCTTGGCTTACATATATTGTCAAATTATTACCACAGTAAGTTTCGTTAACATCCATCATCTCATATAGATACAATAAAAAGAAATAAAAAGAAAAAATATCTCTCCTTGTAATAAGAAATCTTAGGGTTTACTCTCTTAACTTCCTTATATATCATACACCAGTGTTAGCTATAGTCAGCAGGTTGTACATTACATCCCTAATATTTATTAATCTTATAACTGGGAGTCTGTATCTTTTGACCACCAATTTCTTCTTCCCCAATCACTACCTCTAGTAACAAAAAATCTGATCTCTTTTTTTATGAGTTTCTAGCCTCCTTTTGTTAGTAAACAAATGTTTACTGAACAGTTCTCTATGCATAAATGAAGTATCATGAGCCACAGAATTCCCACTAAATTTATTTTGTGTTACTATTCACCAGGTACCCTACTGACATTTGACATGGTGAATCAGTTAAGCTTCTTTGGTTAAAAGCAATAGAAACTAATTCTGAAGGAAGGGAGGAGGGTAATGGAGGGGGAAAAGAGCAGTAAGTAGGATCACAAAAGCAAAAGGAATCTCTGCCAAAAACCTGGGTAGCTTTATGAATCTAGGTGGCAGAAACTAATTTGTGATTTTCTTGAGGTTCTCTTACAGCATTAAACAAACTCCAACTTGAAATCTTGTGATATTCTGCTCAAGCCTCAAACCCTTGGAGAGAATTCAATTGGTCTACTTTAGATGACCTGCCTATCCCTCAGCTAGTAGAAGCCAGGAAACCTTGTTGGACAGTTTTACCATAAGCACACACAATAAAATAATTCCCCCAAGTGAAAATGGGTCCCTTGCCTGTTGGATCTCAAAAGCCAGGCTCACTACCACAGTTTAATGCTGCCACCATAAAAACACTTCTGAAGGAACGTGAGGAAATACAAAGTTGTACCATACTAGCAAGTAGTATTACCTATCAATAATATAATCATACACCTGTCATTTGTGCACTTTACAACTATCTAAGGCATATCTGCCATTAAAAAGAAGATATATACAGAGAACAAAGTTTTACACTGGTTTGATGTAGCTTGGAAAGCAAAGACTTTAAGGGGAGTTTTTCTTAGGCTGCATTGTAAGTATATGAATGCTCTTAAAGTACCTTGGATGGGCATAATGAGGTCTAATGCAGCCTTCTGATAAGAGAAAAGCATTGGCTCCAATTGGTCATCTGAGAAAATAGAACTATGCTACTACTATTGCAGGTTTACAACTGTTCAGTAATAATAATATTATCTCTATATAATAAAAGCCTAAGTGACTGTTATGCAGAATGACCAGAATGACTGGTCGCTATAATGCACACTGACCACCAGGGGGCTGACACTCAATGTAGGAGCTGCTCCCTGGTGGGCAGTGTGCTCCCACAGGGGGAGCGCTGCTCACCCAGAAGCCGGGCTCATGGCTGGCAAGCGCAGTGGCAGTGGTGGGAACCTCTCCCACCTACATGGGAGTGCTAAGGAGCAGCAAGCCAAGCAGTAAAGAGCCTGCCGCTAGGGAGCCGTGAACTTAGCAGTAAGGAGCAAGCAAGAAGGCAGTAAGGAGCAAGCGATCCTGGACTGCGAGAGGGATGTCCGACCGCCGGCTTAGACCTTATATAATAAGAACTAGAGGCCCGGTGCACAAAATTTCATGCACTGGGGGGAGGGAGGGTCTCTCAGCCCGGCCTGTGCCCTCTTGCAGTAGGGGTTTCCTGGCTCCTACTGCCCGCCTGCAGCGGAGGTGGGAGAGGCTTCTGCCACCGCCGCTGCACTCACCAGCCATGAGCCCAGCTTCTGGCTGAGCAGCACTCCCCCTGTGGAAGTGCACTGACCACCAGGGGCTGTGTTGAGCATCTGCCCCTGGTGGTCAGTGCATGTCATAGCAACCAGTCATCCTGCCGTTTGGTCAATTTGCATATTAAGGTTTTATTATATAGGATGTAAAGCATCCACTCAGAGCTGAATCACTGTTGAACATAATTTGTAAAATGTACTTGTTAAACTATAAAAACCTAAAAGTGCTTCCAGAATGCTCCCCTCCTCCTCTTCTTCCACCTCCTCCATCACCTGTGAAACTTTTTTGCTCCAGAGGCTTAGGGAAAGTTAAGGTCATACTATGAATACCATCAGAGGAGCAGCTTTGAAATAGGGACCTCAGTATAAGTAGTATCCTAATTCTCTTTAATGTTCTTAAGTCTATTGATGTCAAATAAACGTATCTTGCAGAGATTTCTGAAACTGTTCATGTCCAGTGATACTTGGAACAAGGAGCATGATTCTAAATTGAGCTCATAATGTGTCTATTTAAATGGATAAGATTGATGGCAAGACTAAGGATAAGAACATTCTAAGGGAGCAAAAGATGGGGAGTCTGTCCACCAGAAGCCTTATAGGTCAAAAGAATGGGACAAAGATAGAAATAAAATATACAACAAAGAGTAAAATGCAATAAAGTAGGAACTCATCATGTTCAAGATATAGACTCTGACTTAACCACAGAACAGATTTCCACAGATATGTTGTCTGAATTCTGGAGCTCTCTTTCACTCATTCTTGTATAGCTAAATGTTTCTTTCTCATTAGGAATCTGGTAAGACGAGAATCTACTTCTATATTACATCAATGGGTGGATTTTCAAAAATCACATTAACAGATGCACAAAAGGCATTTGATAAAACTCCAAATCACGTTCCTGATAAAATTGTAAAATCTAGAGATAAGACCCTATTCCTTACTATTTTACCATACACAACAGAGAAATAAATAAAGTACATCCATTAAAGACAGAAACAAAATAGTATCCCTATTCTTAGTTAACATTATCTAGGAAGTACTGGCCAATGCAGTTAAGAATAAAATGGTAACAAAAGGCACAATTTTCAAAAAGCAGAAGAAATCAATGTGTAGAGCGTAAGAATAAAGACTTCAACACTAGGTAAACCCAGTTTCAAATCCCTGTTCTGCGCTTACTGGAAATGTGACCTCATCTAATTGTTTTACCCTTTCAATATCTGCTTTGTAAAGATTAAACAAAGCAATACATGTGCCATGGTTATAATGTGCCTGGCATAAAATAAATAGTAAATAAACTGTAGAGATTACTTTTATGATGTATATCATAACTACTTGCCGATTACATAGTCTTATGCTACAAGCCCATAAAATTAACTGAAAAATGATAAAATAGGTCAACTCATTGCACAAGAAATAAGCAAAACAAAAACAACAATTTCTCCAAATATCAGCAATATTCTATCAGAAAAAGAAACCTATAAATACAGAAATGGAATTTTAAACTACCAATAAATAACCTTTACAAGAAATATAACAAGTATGAGTTAAAAATGATCAAAATTGTGCAAGAGATAAAAAAGAAACAATGAGTAATGTAGATATTTAACATACTCCTGATTAAAAACTATTATAAACATATCAGTTCTTCTTAAGCTAATTGTAGGTTTAAGGTAATACTGATCAAAATTCCAACAGGATCAAAAAATTATCCTAAAATATATCTGATAAAGAAAGAGACAGCAAATAACTAAGCATAACATATGTTAAGAAGAAATAAGGGACAAACTCTATTAGAAATTAAAATATATTCTAAATCCATAATTACTAATACAATGTGGTATTGGTAAAATAGACAAAAAGAATGGAGCAGAAGAAATCATGACACATATTTGCTATAGAGTCTTTCTCTAGTATAATAGAATTTAACGTATCTTAAAGGCAGCACTATAAACAGTGGAAATTAGAAGGAAGGTGTAGCCAATAGATGATGCTGGGACTTTGATTAGCAATAACAAAATAAATAAATAAATTAGGTTCTCACCTCAAATCAAGCCCCAAAATAACAGATAATCCTTAAATAGGAGAGAGAGAGAGAGAGAGAGAGAAAGCAATAGAGAGGAGAAGAGCAGGGAGGAGAGGGAGAGGGAGAACTAATGAGAACTTTAAAAAATAGAGTTACAAAATTATAATTCTGACATACTACCCAGCAAGAGATACAAGGGCATTAACATGACCAGGATTAAGAATGAGCTAAATCTTACATTATCTTCCCACGATCTCTTTTCTCTCTCATATGCTTCCTTTCTCTTTCGTTCCAATTGTTCTTTTAGTACAGCAGCACGTGCATTTGCTTGGGCCTGAAAATAAAAACAACAAAATTAGTTACCAGAAAGAAGGGCATAAGAGTGTGTGTTTTTCAGGTCTATACATTTACTTTTTAGACAAAAAAGAAATGTGTGTGCACACACGTGTTTGGTGTCCCAGAATAAAAATGTAAGCTCGCTCTGTATTTCCAGCACCTAAACCAGGGCTCAACAAACAGCAGCTGCTTGATACGTGTTTGTTGAGTGAAAATAAATGCAGGCACACTCTAATGGAAATACAACTGTGAAAATTTTAAATGATAATTATTATACATGAACTTTATTTTTTTTCACAGAACTGAACAATTACATTTTTCATTTATAAGGTTACCATTTTTCCTTTTTAAGGTTACCTGTGTGATGGTTTAATGTATTTATGCCATGGTTTCATTAAATTTCTCTCCATAAATATGATATAAAGAGTGAAAAAGTGCTATTTTTTAGAAACCAAAAATTGAGGGATAAAGGGGAAAGAAAAATTAAGGCAAGAGAATACGATGACTGAACTACAAAAGGCTTAACACAATTCTCTAAGTCTTCAATTTTCTCTAAGAAAACCATTTCCAGTCTATACCTTAAGAGCTTCAACTCTTTTACGCCTCATGTCAGCCTCCTCACTTCCTTGTCCTTCAGAATTATCAGCTGCTTTCTGTAAAATAAGTAGAGAAGCAAACCACTTAGGATAGAACTTCAAATTTGGTGCAGAGAATATGAATAAACTAACATCTAACTACGTAAAATGGTAAATTCTTCAATGTTACTAATTTGTTCTCACAATTAACTCTTAGGTACAACAAGGAAAAAGATAAAAAGAGAATGATAGAAAATGTAGCATTTAATAGGTCCATGGGTATGATTTATATTTTCCTCTTAGAATTCCTCTGGAACAAATAAATGGTATTATCAATTTTAAATAAGATTTACTTTACCCCCTTTTAGAGTTTTCTGGTCTTTGACTTTCACTGTCTTGATCAGATTTTGTGTTGCATTTTAAATCTTAACCTATTATAATGTCATTCAATTATGTTTTCTAAAATTGAATGTCAACCTGCCTTTTCACCACGGAGTTTGGCTCTAATCTGTTGGCGCTCATTGAAATTCTGCAATCTTATTTGTCTCAGCCTCGCAAGATAAACCTATAAGGAGAAAAAAAAACACCACATTTTAATTTAAAAGAAAAACTACCAACATTTTAGTTTACTGCTAAATCATTGTTAAATTAAAGAAAAGGGTTAATCTGAATACCACAAATAAAAATTTCAAAATCTTAGCTTTCAATTTTTTAATTTAGATCAACTTATTTCTGAAAAGAAATACATTGCAATTACAAATTTTTAATTTTATCAAAAGAAAAGAAATTGAACTCAGGATACCAAATAACAGTTATGGGGCAAAATTATGACACAGTATGTCAGTCAAAAAAATATTAACAGGTCCCTACAGACCTACAAAATCCTCAAATAATTGTTAAGCGTTTAAACCATGCAGGAAAGGAAGGCAATAAACTCAAAAATGGCTATGTGACCGAGGAAGCGAACATGCGGGAAGCATACCTCTTCCTCTTTGTTTCTTGGCTTCCCTCCTCTTGAAGAGCTGGACCTGCCTCCATACATAGCTGCCAGGTTTTGCAGGATTCCCTGTTCATCATTTAATGTACTAAGTTTAAAGAATGACTAAGGCTACATCAGCATCTTACCTAGGAATATCCAGGTGCCACTTTATTTCTTTTGGCTAATACTGATTATTTATTTCTAGCTGATAAAATGAAAACAAACCCTGGCGTTTTCCTATATCAGTTTAACCAACATATTCAGTGACAACAGAAGGAAGCAATTAAACCCCATAGATAATTATTTGAAATAGAGACCGGCTATGTTTTTATTAGCCATATAAGTAAGCAGGTTTCCAAAACTGTTTTGGAGGTTAGCTAAGCCCCAAATCAAAAATTTCCTCTACAAAGGGCCAATCATTTCTACATGTTCGTTTACATACTAAATACACAAACACAATACAAACTATTTGAGCTTAAACTTTTTGCACTCGGGCATGCCCTATAACTATACTCCAAAGAATCACAGCCAATCACAAACTGGTTCATTTTTTAACATAGTTTATCATAAACATAATTACCTTATTAGAAATTAGTACCCTTCAATAAAAGTATTATAGATTGTTGAATTATTCATTTTCTCTTCCTTCAGCACATGACTGGGTTTCATGTTCCTCCTAATTAAAAAAAATCTTCAGTCCCACTTCCCCATCTAATGTCTTTTTATCAACTTGTTGAAAGTGTACATTTTATGCTCATCACCTCCATTTTCCTGCCTGCCATTCATTTTTTAACCCACTACAATCTGTTTTTTGATCTCACTGTGACTGAAAATTTTCTAAGGTTACCAATGACCTCTAGTTCACAATTCAAATGAACCCTTTTGAGTAGATTTTGCATTTAACAATTCCACTGGAAATTAGTTTAGGCTAAATCTACTAAATTTACATAAGCATTCTTTTCTTTCATAAATATAATGTATGTTCACTGTACAAAATCTATAAAGTGAAGAAAATATAAATAATTCATAATTCTATTACCTGGCAGGCAAAATTTAAGAATATTACCTTCCAAATTTCCTTCTATGTATATGCATGAATATACAGACATTTATTTTTACAAAAATTAATGAAACTTTACTGTATTCCAATTTTTTTTCACTTAATATTAATTAACATTAATGTTCGAGTCTCTTTCTACATTCATTATTCTTAAAAACATTATTCTTAACTGACTACATGATATGCATAATATTCCACTAAATAGTGAATTATAATTTACACATCAAAAAAACCCCCCAAAAACGCCTCTCTTCTCTTTCAGTATTTAAAACAGCACTCTCTCCTGAGATCTTCCAATCTTCACTATTTTTCACAGGCTTTTCTCTTCCTTGGCTCATTGCTAATGTCAATATTTTCTAGAGATTCATTCTCTGGCCCTTCTTTACTTTCTCATTCCCAGGCCTTAACATATGTTGCCAATTCCTAAATCTAAACCAACTTCACAGTCCTTTTCTCTTGAATTTCTATGTATATACAATTGACATCTGGACAATGCTCTTATGTAGGAAAGGTTCTTCAAATAATTTATAGACCTGATTTCATCATTCTTTTTACTACATGATCTTATTCCTACCTCAGTTATTGATCACAGTTGGATATTCAAGTCAGAAAAGTGGGAGTTACCTCTCTATCTCTTTTTCTCTCTCTGTCTCGTCTGCCTAATATAAATGACTACCAAATACTAAGTCTACCTTATAATAATTCCATAATTTTTAGTTTTTGCCTCTAGTTTTTGCCTCCAGAAGAGCTTCCTAACTTATCATCTTACCTCTGGTCTCACTCCACCCCCCCAAAACCTATCCACCCAGTCTAGTCTCAATGCACTCAGAGACCGTTTCCAATATTCTCTTTCACACTGAGCCCCACATAAATCCATTATTATCAGAATATATTCCACTTTCTGTTGAACGGCAGATAAAGCATCTCTAGTCTCATCTCTCAACCATAAAGCCTACATTCTAGCCATGTCAACTACTTATGGTTTATGGACTATCATCTCATCATCTCAAAATGGCTAACTCATCTTCCAAAATGCAAACCAAACATCCCACCCCAGGAAAGCTTTACCCACACCTCCTTCAGTAAGTCAAGTGTGACCTGCCATACCATTTTTTGTATATAACTCCCACAGTAGCACTCATCAGAGTGGTAGAAGGGCAATATTCTATGACAGTTAAGACCATGGACTGTGACAGGCTGTGAAGTCTGGCAGTTCATGTATTTGTCAATGCCTCCTAACCATTGCTGACCTTCAGCAAAATTACTTACTAGTAAACTTGCTGTAGACTGGCATAATAATACCACCCACTTCATAGGTGTGCCAAAACAAAAAGTATTATTATGTGAGCATGTTCTGCCTTCACCCTCTTCCAGCCTGAAAAAAAGGCTTCTACCCACTCAGTCTCCTCCCCACTTCAAGAACTTGGCATTAACTTATCAGTTACTTGAGCTTTAGGGATACAGATCATAGGGTGGGGGAGGGGAGGGGAGGGAAAACAAGGAATAGGCAAGGCTGGTCAAAGATATGAGGTGAACTCTGAAAAGATGTATGGGAATATCTACAGTTACAGGAGAGTGGGTGGTGAACTGAATACTGGTATAGGTTATATCTTCCCTTCATGCTATTTGAAAAATATAAGTAAAACATATCTGAGTTACTTTGAAGCAATCTTTTTAACATTTTAGTTTGAAATATTAAAGGTGAAAAGTACAGGAATGTTCTGTGCATCTTTTACCCAGCTTCTCCCAATTTTATCGTCTTGCATAACTATAGTACATTATCAAAACTAGGAAAACTGGCTCTAGTACAAACCAAAGAGCCTGATCTCAGCAGTTATACATGCACACATTTGTGTCACTACATCAATGTAATTTTATTACATGTATAGCTTTGTGTAACACCATAATCAAGATATTTAATTGTACCATTTCTGTAACACTTCATAGCCACATTCACACTACACCTTTCCCTAACACCCATCAACTATTAATCTGTTCTCCAACTCTATAATTATATTTCACAAATTATATATATATATACATATATATGGAATCATATAGTATGTATCTTTTTGAGATTGACTGCTTTTACTCAGTATTATTTCCTTGCAATCCGCTCTTGAGTATATGTTGCAGAGAAAGGAAAATTTATATTCATTTAGAAACTTGTATTCAAGTGTTCTTGGCAAGTTTACTCTTATAGCCAAAAACTTAAAACTACCCAGATGTACTAAAGTGGATGAATGAATGAACAAAGTATGTTATATTCATACCATGGTATCATATTTAGCAGTGAACTGGAATGAAGCATTGAAGTCTTTCTTTTTAGAGTTTCTCTAACCTATATAGTTTTTAAATTTCAGTTATCCAAACATGGAAAATTTTGAATTCCTACGCAAGTATATAAAATAACTTAAAATCCATGGTTTCTTTAAATTACAATTTAACCTAAAAATTATATAAGTTTCAAATGTTTATTCATAGGTCAGGGACTTTGACTTCATTTGCCACAGAACCAATATTATGATTTACTAGGATTTCCCAAAGCCATTAATAAAATGTATTGATCAAATAATTTAACTGTAGCAGTTTTCCAATTCTAGAGGATTAATCTTTAAGATCGAGAACTTAATCATAACTATTTAGGTTTATTTATAATGTGATTTTTAAAAGTATTAGAAAACACACATTAGGTATAAGACATAACCTCTTTACAAATAGATCATGAGCACTAATATGTATCAATGGAAAAATATTATGTGCTGCCTTAAATTACTGATGTTGACATATTTTTCTTGAAGAATCAGGGTTATTATTTTAAACTAGAGGCCCAGTGCACGAATTCATGCACTAGTGGGGTCTCTCAGCCTGGCCTGTAGGATCAGGCCAAAACTGGCTCTCCAACATCCCCCGAGGGGTCCTGGATCGCAAGAGGGCACAGGCCAGGCTGAGGGACCCCACTGGTGCACGATCAGGACCGGGGAGGGAGGCAGGAGGTTGGCCAGCTGGGGAGGGACAGCGGGAGGGCTCCAGGGCCTGTCCGGCCCATCTTGCTCAGTCCCATTCGGCCAGACCCCAGCAACAAGTTAACCTACCGGTCAGAGCATTTGCCCCCTGGTGGTCAGTGTACGTCATAATGACTGGTTGACAAGTCGACTGTCTGCCCCCTTGTGGTCAGTGCACATCATAGCAAGCGGTTGAGCGGCCTTAGCATATTACGCTTTGACTGGTTGAACAAATGACCGGACACTTAGCATATTAGGCTTTTATTATATAGGATATCCATCACTGTACACAAGTAGGGTCCCTAGCAGTTGCCGGCTGCCAGCCTGGGCCTCCCTTCCCCAGTGTGTTATAGGTTCAGTTATTATACAAAGATATTTAGCAATTATAATGTTGAATTGAGAAGCAAAAGTTGTCACAACCCATAAATTTGCATTAATGACCAGTATAAAATTAGTCCCCACATATTACTCCAACCCTACTTAACACCAGTTTTTAGTTACATTCAACACATCAAGGTCTCTGTTGATCAATCTCTCCCTGATTGTTGGGTGTTGTAAATATCTGACAATATAATGCATACCTAATACAAACTGACTAACAAAGTAAGTTGCTAATCTTGCCAAAGATGAAGGATTTCATGAAAATGAAGACAGTGATATTGGAAAATTGTTCAGATTACATGCAAAATCATCTACAAATATGACAGAAAGAAAACTACAAAGAATTATATTAGTCTTTGAAAATAGTTTGTGTATTAAAAATTAAGAAAAGATCTTTGGAAAACTGAGAAAGGCTCAGCCATTTTTTAAAAAATGGCTCCCTTTTACAATGTTATAAAAGTAAAACCTAAAAAACAAGAAGTGAAGGATATAGCATCTTTCATCAATATAAATTATTTTTCACATGGGTGCATCTTATTATTATTTCAATGACATCTTGTAATCCTATATAATAAAATCCTAATATGCAAATTGTCCCCTCAACCAGGAGTTCAACCGGAAGTTCAACCAGGGCAGGTGGC